GGGGGGGGGGGGGGGGGGGGGAGAGAGAGAGAGAGAGGGAGAGAGGGAGAGAGGGATAGAGGGAGAGAGGGAGAGAGAAAGGGAGAGAGAGTAATGGAGGAAAAGGAAGGTTTGTCGTTCACCTTCATCATTCCCTTCCTCTTCAAGACGCCCAGCACCAGCCTCGAAAAAGAGGAAAAGTCATTCCTTGTAATCCAATTCCCGCCCCCACTTCTTCCATATGCGTACAAAGGATAGGGGGAAGAAAGAAAAGTCATCCGATTTCTTCCCACAAAGTCCGAGACCGAAGGTCGGGCTTAGGTTCGGTCTCTCTTGGTTTCGGGATCTTTGACCAAACCAAAGAAATGACGGCAGAAGTAGAAAACAAAGGAAGGTGGCGACTGCTCGTCTGGAAGTGGAGGACAAGGCTGAACCTTACCCCCTTTGACAACAATAAATTCACAAAAATCAACCTCTGCTCGGTCACAAAAACACACCGATCCCGACCGTGCGTGGTTGCCTTGCGCCTCGGATTTAAGGGTTTTTTCTCCCTTCCGAGGACGCCCAACCTCCCCTCTCGACTCGCAACGTCATTTGATCATCTCCATCTGATGGTGGTTGTTGAAATGGTATGGAAACGACTTGGTACCCCCCTCCCACCTCGGAATCCATTCCAAAACGGTACATAAAGGGCACATTGGGCCTCAACCACTTTTTCTCGCCAGAGTTCTTCTCATCCGCCCAACAACCATAGATCACCAACACAGGATTCTTCCTCACCGAACGACCGACCAAGATCCCTAATCTTCATTCCCTGCCGTCCAGCAAAAGCAAGAAAATGGTAAAGATCTTACTGACAGGAGCCACGGGCTACATTGGTGGCTCGGTACTGACAGAGTTGCTCTCCACTCAAGAATTCCAAAGGGGAGAGTACCAGATCTCGGTCCTGGTCAGGAACTCGACCTGCTATCCCAAGTTCCTCGAGAAGGGTGTGGAGCCCATATCTTTTTCTGGCCTCGACGATCTGGAGAGGATCCGTCAAGTCTCTTCCCAGTTCGACGTCGTCATCAACACGGCCGCTTCCGGCGAGGCCGAGGCTGCTAAGGCGATGGTGGAAGGACTCGGGGATAGGAGGAGAAGCAGCGGCAGCGAGACGGTCATGATCCACAACTCTGGCACTTCGATACTTGCTGACCATTCCCATGGAAAGGTCAAGGGCCAGATGATCTTTTCCGATCTCAAGGATGACATCTACGATTTCGAAGCCAACCATCAAGAGGTCTATTCGCAGAGGGTGACCGACGTCGCCGTCATCGATGCGGGCTTGGCACACGGCGTCAAGACCTTCATCATCGTCCCCCCGACCATCTACGGCAGGGGCACGGGCCTCTTCTCGGTCCAGAGTCAACAGGTGCCTTGGTTAGCCAGGTTGGCGATCAAGCAAGGTCGTGTCAAGATGATCAACCAAGGACTTGGCGTTTGGAATCACATCCACATTTCCGATCTCACTCCCCTCTTCTCCCTCATCCTCTCCAAGGCTCTCAAAGGAGAGGATGCGGCCCCGGATGGGGCTTTTCAAAGCGGCAAGAAAGGGATCTATTTTGCCCAGTCGGGTGAGCATACCTGGCTTGAGGTAGCTCAAGGGATCGCCAAGGCTGGGAAAGAGCTAGGAGTCCTGTCGGACGAGGAGGTAGAGAGTTTATCCATCGAGGATTTCGCACAGGTTTTTGAGTTCGGCAACCACAGCTTACAGGTGGCCGCGTTGGGATACAGTTCAAAGTGAGTCGCATCTTTTTCCTCCGATGGCTCATAAAGCCACATTTTTCTTCTCCCTCCTGCTCTTGCGGTCGACCAAGCTGACATGAGCTTCTCTCTCTCACTCCTGTGGTTCTCCATCTCCAATTCCATCTTTTAGCTCAAGGGCCAGGGATGACAGGGCCAGGGCTCTGGGATGGGCTCCGAAACGTGGCGACGATGATTTCTACAAACACTTCCTGGAAGAGGTCAAGTTGGTAGCATCTGAGTTCAAGTGAGGCCGTGCTTTCCCACCATGATTCGAAGTCTTCCCATGAACGGTTCTATTCAGTTTCCCGGTAGACTCGAGACACCCAACGACTCTTGCTCATATAGTACATCACGCTCATGCGGGTTTGAATGCGGAAAAAGTGCGAATGAAGACAAAAGAGTCAATGGATTACTTATTTCTTCTCAGTGCCAATTTGCCCACTTGATGGTGGCTTGGTGATGGCGTTACCTCGTGTGATCCTTCTCAAGCTTGAGCTGGGAATCACAAGGAGAAAACCAGCTCAGTCTGGACCGAATCAGAATTCCAAGAGGCAATCGAGACGGGTGATAAACTTGCCAGCCGAAATCGACGGGGAAGAGATGTGTGTTGCATCCGTGCTTTGTTCAGTTTTTTGGCGGCCTCTTCCGAATGTCTTCTATACTGACGGGCTGTAGGTAGACGTGGTTTTCTTGGATGGCCCCCTGATAGCCTTTGTGCCAATCGTAACTTACTGAAAATCCCGTTGCGGGAAGGAAAGCAGTCATCCAAGCGAAGAGATCAGCTAGGTTTCACAGTGTCATAAATCATGATA